TCTCAGATATTTGTGGGGACGTTTGTGCGTCCACCAGTTTTTCACCACTAATAAATACTTTCAAGTGTCGTCAAAGGTCAAAGTGGAGGTGCTGCTTTTAGGAAACACAGACTATTGTAGAAAACAGCCATTCACGCCGGAGGTGCCATTCAGAGTCCCGACGGTGGTCATGCTCAGTCTGGTGAGGAGGCTGAAGGACAGGGAAAGGTTTTTGTCCCCAAAACTGAAATCTGAATGAAATCAAAGGTCAGAGCAGCTTAAACACGTTTCACAACGCTTTCTGCTCTTTGTGTGTTTTCATTCAGCTGGTTGGAGTTAAAGGCCACCTTTGACCTGCGGATACATGTGCACACTGTTAGCATCACAGCACACCTGTGCCGTTCTAGCTCCGCCTCTTTACAAATATGATCTCAGATTTTTGAACACGTTGACGGTCCGGTCATTTCCCAGCTGTTTCTAGCAGCGAATGGGACACAGTATGACAAGAGGTGTAATGCTCCGCCCTCAACGTGGCCCCGCCCATCCCCCGACACCCCGACCTTTGACTCAGCATTCAGCCTCCTCAGCTCCGAGCGTTTCTGAGGCGGGATGCCGAATGGCACAGAGATGTCAATAAATTAAAGGGCAGCAGTGCTGTGGCAAACACATTCAGCAGCAGCTGAGGAACTCAACACTCAACAAAATAATAAAGCTAATAGTGCACAATGTGTCCTCTACAGGCGGACTCGCACAACGCTAGCACTGCAAGTCTGATCCGAACATTAAAAAGCTTGTAAATATACAAATGCAGTATATCGAGAATAATAATCATAATCATGTCATCGTCATAATAAGAATCTGATTGTACAAAGTTCTACATTCTCCCGACGGTAAAAAGCTGCTTAAAGCCTCTGAGACAAACACAACGGCTCAAAAATCGCAGAATATCAAAGGTGGCACCGCCGGCATTTTGTTAGCTCGCGGCTAGCAGACACCATTGCTCCGGGTGAGGAATGCTAACAAAGCTAACGAGTCCGAGTCAAGTCACCGGAGGGCAGGACCGCGGGCCGACAGCAGCGAACGTCAAAACGCCACGGAGGCTGAAGCCGAAACACAAAACACAAAGTCAGTTCCAGCATGCAGAAAATCACAAATCTGTACAGAAACACTGAAGAGGAAGAAACACAAGCCCTCCCTGCAGAATCCAGCCAAACATCCAACCGTTTTACACCACCGCAAAGAAAATCCACCAAAAATGGCGCCGACACAGAGACTCTGAGCCGGCGGGTCGATAACTAAAGCCACGATCCAAGATGCAGGTAAAGTTTAAGTTATTAAGTTAGTCCATAATTAAGGCTTCTAAAAAACAACGACAGGAAGAAAAGAACCACATGGAGATATGAGGTTTCACACCGCGACCACGCCACCAACAGACCAACAGGGGGCAGTCTGAGTTCCTGCAGTACGGAGGCCCAGAAGAGTCAAAAAGCACCATGTGAAACGGCAGCTCACGTTCACATCCAACCCTCACAATGGTTTATGTTTACTCATCTAGTATTAAAGTACTGCAGTACTCTATAGGCAGTATATATGGACGTTTCACATCAGCCTGAGTCACTTTTTCTCTGTTGTACTGGTTTGTGATTGGCTGAAGCTTAGCGACACATCAGTGCTGATGTACAGTCACTACAGGTTCCACAGATCGGCGTCGTGTTCGTTAACTGAATCAAATCAAACGTCTGCATGTTTGTGTTTATGTACATTTATTATTGCTTAAAATACTCCCAGCCCTGCCAGTAACCGTGTTGGGCGTCTGAAATCTACAGCTCAGTAACTGTTGTTACTGTAACAACTCAGTATATTTGTGTCACTATGATGGGCAGTGATGTTTGGCACTTCTGGGACTCCGTACATTCCTGTCAACACTGGAGACTGATGATGATTCTGATTGGCTGTCTGAGCATCGAGGAGTTTTAAATGTGTAAAAAACATCACAGAGGAGTTTGTTTGTGTGTGTCTGTGTGTGTGT